TTACGCTTAGCGCGCAAAGAATTAGCTATATTAGCTATAAATGCTATCTAAGGGGAAATTCCTCGCGCATATAGCTTAAGTATAGTCTTAACAATTACCTACTCCTTTTTATTACCTAGCCTTTGTAATTTAGCTGTAGAATTAGCTTGTAAAGGTTGTCTAGCGCTGTAGTTATTTATTGTCTTTTATAGGACTCTACACATAGCTATAGCACATTTCTTTAAGAGTTTTATGTCTTATTTAAAAGCTTAGAGCGTAAGCTGTATCTAACATTCTTTTAGCGCGTTTAAGTAGTGTTGTGGGGAATGCATTAGTGTAGGAAGAGTGGTTTAGTGGGGTCTTGGCAAAAGTAAGCGACTTAGGTGTGTGAGCAACTCGCCTATGAAGTACGTTATAATAAGTTTTTTATATAATAATAAGGTTTTAGTTACGTATATAATTGTATATATTTTAAAAAATATCTAATATTTTAAAGTATTATTATATAGTAAATAGCTTTTATATTAATATAATTCCTACATAAATACTTTTACATACATATAATAAAAGTATTAAAAAGTAAATATCTATATTTTATATTATTAATACCTATTTTATTTAAATATAAAGCTTTTTAAGTAAAAAATTTATATATTATATATTATACAATTAAAGCTATTATATAAAAAATTTTCACTATATTTTAGCTTAATATATATATAATTCCTTATATTTAAAATTTCATGCTTATAGCTGTAGTAGTTATGAAAATGAGGGGAGTAGTTGTGTGTGGTGGGGTGTGCGTCAGGTGGGGCCGAGCGTCAGCTGATAAAATACGGTATAATAGGCTAGATATTTACTAATTATACTTATACTTAAAGCTTACTTTAAGCTTTAAATAGCACTTAATAAATATACTAAGCTAGTTTATACTAATATAGCTTAGATTATGCTTAGCATGTAAAGAATTAACTATATTAGCTATAGCTGCTAGCTAAGTGTAACAGCACAGGCAAGACAATGGGTCCGAATGCGGTAGGAATCCACTCAGAGGCATATGGGAGTGCGTGGGAACTCAATAACCTAGGAATTCTATTGACACCTATAGGCCTTGTACAAAGGATATTAGAAAACTACTAAGCTAGCTAAGGGGAGAGGTGCGACTAAATACTTAGGGGAATAGGAGTACAGCAGGGGGCAGGGCAGAGTCGGGGCCAGGGCGAGTCAGGGTCGGGGTCGATACGGGGACCCTTCGGATAGGTTCCGGGCGACCCGAGATGGAACGATTCATGAGAATTGTTACACTAAGAATAAATCTTTATATATTTAGCCTAAGTATATGCTTAATAATTACTTACTTTTTATTATTATTTAGCTTTAATAAGTTAGCTAACGTACTTTACAGGCAAGTTGCTTACACACCTAAGTTGCTTACTTTTGCTAAGACCCTACTAAACTACTTTTCCTACACTAATGCATTTCTAATAACACTACTTAGACATGCTAAAAGAATATTAAATATAGCTTATGCTTTAAGCTTTTAAATAAAACATAAAGCTTTTAAAGAAACATGCTATAGCTATATATAAAGTTTTTAAAAAACAATAAATAACTATAGCGCTAGATAACCTTTATAAGCTAATTCTATAGCTAACTTATAAAGGCTAGGTAATAAAAAAAAGTAGGTAATTATTAAGACTATAGTTAAGTTATATGTATAAAGTTTTTTTTTAAATAGCATTTATAGCTAATATAGCTAATTCTTTATACGCTAAGTATAATTTAGGCTATATTAGCATAAACTAGCTTAGTATATTTAAGAAGTGTTATCTAGACTTTAAAGTAATATTTAAGTGTAGTATAACTATAAAAGAGCTTTCTATAAGAGTTCTAAAGTAATTTAAAGTAAGTTTAGCCTTATAAAGAATATTAAAGCTAAGTATAGCATTTAAAATAATAACATATTAACTTTAGTAAAATAAGCTTTATTATAGGCTAACGTACTTTACAGGCAAGTTGCTTACACACCTAAGTTGCTTACTTTTGCTAAGACCCTACTAAACTACTTTTTTTACACTAATGCATTGTGAGAGCACTGTGAAGCAGGAAGCGTGAAGCGCAGAAGGGGGTACAGGATAGTATTGATAGACGAATCCTTGAGGAGACTCAGGGGTTCGTAAGAGGATATATATATATGTGCTGGGGCACGTGACGGGACGTCATGTGCCCAAGGCTGGGCCGAGGGCTCTCCGGGGAGAGTCCGAGGCATGTCCAAGTTGACCGTGACATGCATTCTCTATAACACTACTTAGATGCGCTAAAAGAACATTAGATACAGCTTACACTTTAAGCTTTTAAATAAGATATAAAACTCTTAAAAAAATGTACTGCAGCTATATGCAAAGTTTTATAAAAAATAATAAATAACTATAGCACTAGATAACCTTTACAAGCTAATTCTATAGCTAAATTATAAAAGCTAGGTAATAAAAAGAAGCAGGTAATTATTAAGACTATACTTAAGCTATATGCGTAAGAAATTTCCTCTTAAATAGCATTTATAGCTAATATAGCTAATTCTTTGCGCGCTAAGCATAATCTAGGCTATGTTTATATAAACTAGCCTAGTATGTTTATAAAGTGTTATTTAAAGCTTAAAGTAACATTTAAGTGTAAGTATAACTATAAAAGAGCTTTTTATAAGAGTTTTAGGGTAATTTAGAGCAGGTTTAGCCTTATAGAAAATATTAAAGCTAAGTTTAGCATTTAGAATAATAACACATATAACTTTAGCAAAATAAAGTTTATAATTAGCTAAATATTTTTTAACTATACTTATACTTAAAACTTTACTTTAAGCTTTAAATAACACTTTATAAATATACTAGGCTAGTTTATATAAATATAGCCTAGATTACGCTTAGCGCGTAAAAAATTAGCTATATTAGCTATAAATACTATTTAAGGGGAAATTCCTTGCGTATATAGCTTAAGTATAGTCTTAATAATTACCTACTCTTTTTTATTACGTAGCCTTTATAATTTAGCTGTAGAATTAGCTTATAAAGGTTATCTAGTGCTATAGTTATTTATTATTTTTTATAAGACCTTATATATAGCTATAGCATATTTCTTTAAAAGTTTTATATTTTATTTAAAAGCTTAGAGTGTAAGCTGTATCTAACATTCTTTTAGCACATCTAAGTAGTGTTATAGGGAATGCATTAGTGTAGAAAGAGTAGTTTAGTAGGGTCTTAGTAAAAGTAAGCAACTTAGGTGTGTAAGCAACTTGCCTGTGAAGTACGTTAAATATTTATAAACTATAATTATACTTAAAACTTTACTTTAAGCTTTAAATAACACTTTGTAAATATACTAAGCTAGTTTATGCTAATATAGCCTAAATTATACTTAGTGTGTAAAGAATTAGCTATATTAGCTATAAATGCTATCTAAGAGGAAAATTCTTATATATATAGCTTAAGTATAGTTTTAATAATTACCTACTTTTTATTATTACTTAGCTTTTATAAGTTAGCTATAAAATTAGCTTATAAAAGTTATTTAGTGCTATAGTTATTTATTATTTTTTAAAAAACTCTATACATAGCTGCAGCATATTTTTTAAGAGTTTTATATTTTATTTAAAAGCTTAAAGCATAAGCTATATCTAACATTCTTTTAGTATATTTAAGTAGTGTTGTTAGGAATACATTAGTGTAGGAAAAGTAGTTTAGTAAAGTCTTAGTAAAAGTAAGTAACTTAGGTGTGTAAGCAACTTGCCTGTAAAGTACGTTATAAAATAAGCTTATATAAGTTATTTAGTATACTAGTTATTTACTATTTTTTAAAATACTTTATATATAGCTATAGCATGTTACTTAAAAAGTTTTATATTTTATTTAAAAGTGTAAAGTATAGGCTATATTTAATATTCTTTTAACCTATCTAAGTAGTGTTATTAAGAATGCAGTAGTGTAAGAAAAGTAGTTTAGTGTAGTTTTAGTAAAAGTAAGCAACTTAGGTGTGTAAGTAACTTGCCTGTGGGGTACGTTATTAAGTTATTGTTATATCGCGCATCGCGCCATCGAGAGTTGACTGTACAGCTCTTCTCTGTTGCAGCCTACTTCCGCGGAGAGCAATGAAAAGGGCCTCGGGAAGGAGCTCGAGCAGTATGCAAAAAAAACTAACATCTTCATGTCGCATGCCTATTACACCTATCTTGCAACTCTGTTGTGCACTTGACAGTTCTTTGCTCTAATTCTTGCATGGCTCGTGCCTCTGGAATTCAGATCATCCCTGGCATTCTCCAAAGGGTATTGCTCTATGGGATGGGCAGCTCCAGCCCAGTAATTCACCACATTACCAGCTTGCGTGTGCAATTATCCACATTGGGGTGCTGTGTTGGCATTCTGCTTTCGTCCTAGCAGGTTGGATCATCTTGGCGTCTCCACACATCTCTCCTTTCACGCTGTTCTGTGCAGTCACATATGGGTTTTAACCCACGTGCATTCTCCCGTCAGGATCGTTTGCTAGTTTATATTAAAGTCTGTACATTGACACTAACTCAACTTCTAATCTTTTATTGAATGCAACATCAATCGACATAATGGTGGCACACGTACCCCATCACGCGTAACAGTTTCCAGTATATCGACATTTGTGCAGTAACGGCAGGTTGTGTTGATGTAAGCTACCATCCAAGAGTACTTAGAGAGTGCAGTGATTGCTCTTGAATAGTAGGCCAGGCGATCTATTCTATGCTCGTAACAGCGATACTAATAAGAGAAGGCTCTGTTGTAGTCAGGGATCGGGGAGCAAGAGTGCTGGAGTGATTATCCCTCTGAGATCTTAAAGTTTTTTAACTAACGATTATGCCATCGCCCTCTCCATCCGAGAATGAGGACGGTAGCATTAGCGGGGACATTGGTGTTAAGACCAGCTTGAACTATGGTGGCTTAAGTTCGGCTTGATCTTCCCCGGTATCGAATCCCGCTCAGGCTAAGAGTGCCGAGAAGTCCATCTCTGTAGGGGTACTGATAGGCGCGTCTATATCCTAGGACTTGTCGAGCATCATGGCGACGACTCATCGATATCGGCCAGCAAGTCCTTCAGTCAAGCTAGCCCTACAGACAGCCTTGAACCAGAAACAACAGGTACGACCTCTGGTGAATGTCTCACGTCTAATTTTAACTGTTGTACATAAATATTTAACAACAAGTTGTCTCCATCATCGAAAGACAGGAAATAACCACCAGTTGAAAGCAGCGAGACGGTCACCCAAAAATCCAGCTCTGGGCCGATTTTCCAGAGCATCCTCCACGACATAAGCTAGCCGGGCCCTTAGGGTACAGATAATCCAAACAGGCGTATCTTCAGGGTTTTCTACGAAGCTAACTGAGATAGTCAAGAATCCTGTTCCAGGCTGAATCTTCCTGAGGAAATCAGCATGCCACCCGCATCACAAGCCTGCTAGACACCTGAACCGGGAATAACATCCAAGGGGGAAGTTCCCGTTCCAAACAGTGAGACAGTCGCCCAAACATCTTCCAAACGAATTCCAAATAAAGAAAGAAGCGTATCATTGGTTAAATGAGGTAGCTAGACAGGTCAGGCGGGTATTATGTCATAAGAAGAATTTCCTACCCAGCCTAATTTGATAGGAGTCGCCCAGGTTGCATCTCCGAGATGACATTGATGGAGGAGATCACTTTGGTAGCCCCTTTCCCAGAAAGTCAATTTGAACTGAGGTTCACGCTAGACAGCTCTCCCACTTTAAGCGTTCAGTGTGTCCAACCGTTAGTTACGGAGCCTTTTGGAGGCTGTATAGTACAGTTACGGAAGAGGAGGCTGTTACTAACTAACTGTACGGAGGAGATGACGTCAGTGTACGGTTAGGATACAGTAACTGAAGTATATTGAAGTATTATGAAGTAATTGCGCTGAAGCTAAAGACTATACCCAATTAGGAAGTTGTGATACCCCTTGTGAGATCTACTGTTGTTGATCTCACTGTTTTAATGTACTCTGTAAGCTCAGTCAGCTCACTAGTAACAGCGTTGTTACGTAACTAATTCTTCTGCAGTTGAAGAGCCTCTATTGTCGACCGCGTCGTTGATTGGGATAGGAATTGGGACATTATAATGGGCAAAAGAATAACGTAGATGGCATAGTTGCTGAATTTGTTAGAAGATTGCTAACAAAACAGGCAATAACGGCATTCTCCGCATTAATCTCCGAACACGAGCCCCCTGGCCCTCAGCAACCTGCCTTCAACCGCCCAAAACCACCAAAAATCCTATATAACTACCGTAAACGGTTAGTACAGCAGCCTCATGTATAGTACAGTATACTGAGTAGATGCCCTGTACGTACGTACGTGACCAAAATCAGTGTACTGTAGTACTGTACTATTAGGTGTACTAACGGTTGGACACACTGTAAGCGTTAGTGAAACAGCCACAACGGGCGAGAAAAGAGACCTTGTACCCACAAATCAACTTCTTTTAGCCCAAGTGACACCGGCGAGAACAAGCCAACCAACGCTTCCAACGAGGTAGTACTGTACGATTGAGCGATTTTGATGCTTGTTCGGGTGAACTTTGTTGTACGTTCGTACAACAGGGAGGATGAGAGGCAGGCGTACGTATAGTAACTGTTGCAGCGCATTTGATCTGTTTAAGTAGTACAATTTAATTAAGTACGCCGTACTCTAGTTAAAACAGCTTAGATTATAGCCTCTAGGGAATCAGGATTAGGGCATATACCAATCCTCCCTAGTAACATAAGCAGAAAGGCTTACTGCTTGCTACCTTTACAGGGCCTCAAGAGCCTTGCTTATAGCACTAACAAAAGAGCTAGAGGGAGAGTATCTTGTCCTGCCGTAGTTAGGCTTTATCTACAGACGGTGTACTATCGCAGGGTAAGGCAGGAGGCGCGGTGTAGAGCTCTTAACTTCTACCGCCTATAAGACTAAACGAACAGAGGTATCTAATTGACTATATAAGCCCTGTAAGCCAGTAATGTGCATATATAGATAACTTTGTAATAGGAAATAGTTAGTGATAGGCATGTTTAAGAGAACAGACAGCAGAGAGAAAGAGATCTAAACGTCATTACAAAATTTTTAGCTAATTAGAGCCCTCTTACTCTCTAGAATTTCTATATAAACGTCCTAAAAGGGTAGTACAATTTGTACTGCCTACTGCACCTAGGGCATTATAAAACGTGGGGTGCGGCTCACAAACTGGGTAAGATCGTAATGAACACGTGACCTGGACGGCTCACTTTGTACGGGTCGTAGTACGCCCCATTAGAAGCCCTGCTTGGGCCAACGCCGATGAAACTTTTAGAGGTGACACGAAGACAGCCATCTAGCGGGTCGAGTCTGTCTGTATCGAGTGGAAACACCCCCAGAAATAAGTGAAACTAGATGTACTGTGTCAACTAACGAATCATTTCGACCGGAGTCTGTTTTAGAGTCTGGAACCATGTCGTCTGGCTAGGGGTTTCCACAAACATCGCCCATTCTGGAAGTGATGCCCACATCGAAGGGAGTACTCTTAGTCTTTCTCTAGCCTGTCACTCTAAACCACCAGCACATTGCCAAAGCCCAATTTGTAGGTCTCACCGAATGGCAAATGTGGTGGTGAGGCCGGGCAAACTTATCAAGTCTCTGCATGGGACGATTGCTGCTCGTAGTACGGGGTATTGCGGGGCGACGGAGCGCTATTACTGGCGAGCATGTCAACCCTCTTTTGTACCTGAAATATGCTTTCTAAAAACAATTCGCAGGTTTCCCCGAACAACCAATGTAGCGTCGATTTAGGGTATACTTGCGAAGGGTCCCAGTGCGGGAATTATTGCGGCACAAGCGGGTCAACGAAGGCTTTCAGTGTGAGTGGATGTTCAACTAATTTGGTACCTAGAGTTCCCCGCCGTCTAGAATTGAATCTCTAGCTCCGGGACAACATCTACCGAGTTGAGAGTTACGAACTGGCAGCTGACGTCTTTGTCAGAACTACCTTCGATCGAACTAAGCGGAATCCTAGAAAGGAGTGAGGTTCTGTCATAATTTAGATTGCCGCCAAAACCCCGGCAGAGTCACGCATTAAACCAAGCATTATCCCCACCGCATCCACATGCCCTACGTCTAGCAACCCTGGCTCTAGCCGCTCTACCTTTAAAAACCCGGGCGGTGAGACCAGCCTGCCTCATAGCAGCTAGCCGTATCATTACAAAGACCAGCGTGGCCAACAGTACGTAGTACGTTACGTTTGAGCTTTTTTCTGCCAGTAACTTCTCAATTTGGTAGTACTTTTGTACGTGAGCAGTGAATTGATTAGCAAGTACGTAACGTAACAGTAACTTCTCAAAATCCTTATACTTTTGTACTTTTCGCGAGAAGTTTCGTCGGTCCGGGTCAAAATTGTTCCGGGAGAAGCTTTTTAGCCTAGATGAAGTCCCCTCCTCCTCCTTATCGCCCTGTCTCTAGCTTGTTGGGACGACTCTGATAAGCAGGAGGATTAGGATGAGGCTGTACGCCTGCTGCGATAGAGGAATTAAGACATCTAGCTCATTGTAACAATTAATAAGATAGGCAATAGGTTGGCAAATAGGCAGGTATAAGATAAGGAGCTTTTCTAGGGCAAAAGTTAACTATTTTTATAATTGTTACTCTAAAACGCGACCTCAAACAAAGCTCCCAACGCGATGGCCAATGGGGTCTGAAAACAGGAGGGAAATCTCCCAAAATATGACCTCTCTGACCCGTACTACGGGACGTACTTGGCAATTCACTGTACAAAAGTTACGTCTCACATTTTAACTACTTTTGTACTCCTCACGTGATTACTACGTTCACGTAGTTACGTTACGTACTACGGACTGTTGGCCACGCTGACAAAGACCTGCGACACTGAAATAGCTGCAGCGAGTAGCACCCCCAAATATCGAGCAGCAAAACTGGAGATGGTGCTATTCGTGAGCCATCCGAGGGTCATCTAAACTCCGAGGTCAGTAGCGTCTTTAATACCACCCACCGCTTGATCAAAGGAACACCATAACCAACTAAGCGTTAGAGTCTTAGAGCTGTCATACTAGAGCATCCTCTTTCAATGGCTCTACCAAAATCCTCAAAAGCTCGACTGCAATGGCCGCTCCTAGTACTCAACACAAATATCAAGTGGGGAGACTGGAGTGGTGGGTGTATGCAGCTTATCCAAGCAGAGCTCCAGATAAGGAGCTGTAGCAAGTAGTACCAGCCGCGAAACAGCTACCTCATCCACAACCCAACTTCACAGCGGGTCAACTTTGCCAACTTAAAGAGCTCATCTCAACCCGTGGTCTTGGAAACAGTGCACCTTCTACTGGCATAGCTAGCTCATTCTTGTATTCGGCCATAAGTGCCCTGGGGATTTTCACAGATTCGACTACAAATACAACTAGCACGACCAGCTCTTTAGCGCACACGACTACAAGTAGACCTAGCACAACCAGCCCCTGAACGCATTTGAGCACAGGTACGACCACCAGCATAATAAGCTCACGGATACAGCCATAGCTAGTTCGACAACAAATTTAGCTACGAGCCCTACCACCTCTTCAACACATACAGTCATAGCTAGCTCATGAACGGGGAATGCCGACGAAATACATTTGTTTGCTATGGCAGGCAGAGGGAAGTTGGCTAGGAAATGCAGGTCTGGGGAAAGGGAAGACACGGCGTTTGGTATAGACTTGATGAAGGAAACAAGTGGCATTTTGTTTCCGGTGAACGGGTCTGTTTAGTTCTTGTCACCCCGTTTCGTAACGATGGAGGGGGGTTTATCATTCAACTACTATTGTTTGGTACCACATCACCTAAGTAGATTTAAAGTTTGATGCACACCTTTCTCTTCAGAATCGTATAAAATATCCTTCTTGCCTGTCATTCCAAGTATGTGATCACTTGAGCAACGGGAAGTGGTTGGCACGTGACTTGGCGATGCCAAGAGATCTTCGAGCCAAGCTAGCTTCGCTGACGCGATTGTCAGATGTCAAGTTCCCCGCCTAGCTCCCCACTCACTCCCACATACACTCCAGCCCACGCGTACCTGAAGCCACAGCCTCGAAGATATGTCGTCGTCGTCTTCTAGCTGTCGGAAACGTAAAACTGCGCCCACGTCTCCATCTACCCGCACCCGGCCCTCGAAGCGATCATCCACCAACCGGCCTGGGCCGAGTGCGGCGAACGATGACCACCTCGGTCGGCTACCCGATGAACTTCTTCTCCAAGTACTACACCAGCTAGATGAGCAGCCTGCGGGAGGGGCGGAAAGGAACAGGATTTATCGACGCCTTTCCTTGATCAATCGAAGATTTGGCAGTGTCGCTCAGGAAGTGCTGTATGAGACGTTCAAGTCCGAGTCTGGCCGCCCTGGCCCGTTCCTGCGTACGCTTGTTGCCAGGCCTGATCTCGCAACAAAGGTTAAATATGTTCTGTGGGATTACAACATGGGCGACCATACACGCGTGGCCGGATACGTCCCGTCGTCGAGCGACCGCCGAAACATGCGCGCCAGCCTCACGCGTCTTGGAATACCGTGGCGAGAACACTTGCTCTCCCTGTACGCCACTGGACGGTCTGTTTGCCTCCTCAAGCTCGTGCTACTCCACACACCCAATGTTCGTTGTCTTGATGTCGTCGATCAGACCTCGCCACACACCTTCTTCGATGTGGGCACCTACCAGTCTTGCTGGATTCAACTCTTCTATCCCGCAACCCCAGGAAAATTGACCTCTCAAGGCTTTCCGTCTCAGTATCAGCATTTACATACCCTCAATTTGCGCATGGGTGGCATGAAGATGAAGTACATACATGCAATTCTCCGTCACCCGTCATTGCGCAAGCTAGTACTCAGCGGCGCCTATGCACCGACTTACGTCATTGACGAGCATCAAGAGAACGAGTTTGGAAGACCCTTTGAACAAGAGGTGTGTCCCACTTCCACATCACCTGTCGTAGACCTCGAAATACAAGCCAGCTTCATGAGTAGCAAATGCCTTGCTCAACTCATACGAGCCTTTCGAGCCTTGGAACGTCTCGTTTTCTGTTACGACACTCGGTACTACTACCGAAACATTGCCGATGTCAATTACCCTGTAATAGGAAGAGCCCTGCGTCGCCACAAAAAGACTCTGCAACATCTCGACCTAGATGATGTATCGGATAGGACAGTGGTTAAATTAACGGAATACCCACGTGGGAATTTAGGCTCATTCCACGACTTTGAGAAGCTTCAGATCCTCGGCGCCCCGTTCGAGTCATTCCCACGGCAAGGCCAGGACGAACATACTCTTGTCTACTTTTCTAGACTTCTTCCAAAGACTCTGCAGCAGCTGCGTCTGACTGTCTTCGAGGATGAGGAATATTTCCATACCTGCTCCAATTCTTTGGAAGAGTTTCACAAATCTTACATAGACGCAGTGCCGGACCTCTCTCGAATTGACATTCGAGTGCACAGAATCGTGCAGATGAAAGTGATACAGCTCTGGACACCAAAACTGAATTTCGTTCAAGACAGTATCGGGTTCACCATCATGCACGAGGGAGTGGAATACCATGATGTGGTCTTCTCGGATGATGAAGATGATAACAGCGAGGAGGATGAGGGTGATGATATTGACTCGGAGACACTGTCAATGATAGAGGAGGCTGTTGCGGGGGCTGCAGCGGCCGTCATGGCCACCATGCTTGCCGTCACTCAGTCCCTCCATCACCTTCTGTAGGCTTAGGAGGCTTTAATTTTGCCCAACCTGTACAACCTAGTTCCATATCCTCCTTATGGTGAACGAACACATTCAGACCACACCTTCTAATCTCACATCGATCTTCTCCATTCTGTTTACATTATTTTCCTAGCATATCGCCGTATTTTATCATTCCTGAACTGATGGCGCGAGCGCCATTGTCATTTTACAACTTTCGCCTCTGACTAAGCACGGCCGATCTAACACAATCCCTTTGTCGCGATTTATTAGCCTTCCCCCTTTAGGTTCTGAGGGCACATCCTCCGAGAATGCTGGAGACACATGGTCCGAATAGGCAAGAGGATATAGTGTTGCACCAAGCTGACTAAATTCAACAAGCCTAACAAACATTGGATCCCTGCTCTGTATCAGTTGATCGTTTTTGCTGACCTTAAACAAATGTATAAAATGAAAAGCGTCCCCCAAATTTACAGCTATAACAGACACGCATCGTCCTCTGTATCTACCCTACTATACTCATGATGGCCCAACAATTTACCACTCTCCCTTCGAAACGCATCTTGATCGCCGACGCCCCTCGAACCTGCTCGCGATTGTTCCCGAAGATTTTCGCGGTGCATCCGTAGTTAAGTCATTTCGTCAATCCAATGATGCAGGGCTTCCAACGGGGCGTACCGGCCGCACCAGTTACGTGTTCAGTACGAACGAACCCAGTTTGTGAGCCGCACCGTACGTTTAATGATGCCCCAGGTACGGTACATTGTACGGATTGTATTACCCTTTTAGGAGGTTTTTTTATAGCCTTTCTAGGGGAGTATGAGGGCTCTGGGGAGTAGAGTTAAAGGTGGATTACCTTTCCCTGCTGTCATTAGTTTTTAGCTATAGACAACGTACTACTGCAGGATGAGGCAAGAGACGCAGTGTAGATGGCTCTTGACTTCTGCAGACTAGGTAAGAGACTGCGCAAAACAGACAACAGAGGTACGTGATTAATTAGATAAGGCTTGTAAGTATCTGAGCTGTTTTAACTACAGTACGGCGTACTTCAATCAAATTGTACTACTCGTACAGATCACGTGAGCCGTAACAATTACGATACGTACACCTACCTCTCATCTTCTCTGCCGTACGAACGTATACAAAATCTCCCCCGTACAGGTATCAAAATTGCCCAATCGTACAGTACTACGCTCGTTGAAAGTGCTGCAATGATGTATGCCATGTACAGGCCAGGGCGCGTCGGGCTTGAGCTGAAGATGTGCAAAGGTGTGCAAAAAGCGCAGGACATGTTAGTGGAGAACGCTGAGTTAGAAGGTGAGACCTATGAGATCGGGGTTGAGAAGTTGGGGGCAGAGATTACAAGGGTGGAAGAAAAGGTGAGTTGCACTGAACTCTAATATTCCCCATGCTATTAGTAGGGAGCTCAATACCTCAAAATGAACAACAGTATAGGACAAAATTCCCTGGACTAAAGACCACACATTCTAACACATCCGCCGGGATCTCGCCATCTCCGTCTTCAAATCCTCATCCATTAATTCCTCTCCAGATTCATGGATCAGAAATCCAACGACATTTTCCAACTCCCTTACCCCAGTCATCCTAATTCACCATCCCGCACTTACGATCCCATCCTGCTACCTGACCGGAAAACCAGTCTTCGCACTCTCATCCCGAGAGTATTTCAAGTTTATGTTCGACGTTGGAATTCTCTAGGGTGTGGTTTGATGCAAATATAGAAAGTGGAGGGGTCATTACGGTTGTGGTTGATGCGTAGGAGGTTGCCTACAATACCGAGAAGACTATTGAGAAGGTTTATGAGAAGCTGGGATCCAGTGCCGAAGCAAATGTGACTTAAGGATGGGATTATGAGGGAATTTTTTGTGGAGATTATAGAGTCGAGGGGAGCGAGAGAGGAAGTGAAGGTAAGTGCTTGAGCTTGGGGTCTTCCGGGGAAAGCGAATGTAAGCAAATAAGAGGCTAGTCTATTAAGAAGGAGATTGATTTGGACATTGAGATGTGGGAGTAGAGGGAGGAATTTGGGGAAGAGGGGGCGGTAGGGTTGAGAAAGAAAGTGGAAGAAGAAATAGGGGTTTATGAGTACTTGAAGGGGACAAACTCACAGTCTAGGGTCCTTCGAACAAGCTATCTTCTTGTTATCTTCAAATCAGTCCTCACCACTCATCGGCATTCCTCATCAATACTCTCCTCTACGCCCATGGTAGTCTCTAAAGTATCCCGCCTAAGCCAACTATACGGCGAATTAGATATAGATAAATTTAGAATCTGACATCGGGGTGAAGGTAATCGCAAGGGCCTGTAAGTTGCCGCTAGCGTGCCTCGTACTAGACTGTACACACATTCCTACTTCTACCCACTATTTCAGCACCCGCTTATTCCAATCCTAATTGATTCTGCTATTTGTTTTCTTCTAAGGCTTCATCAAGAACTGAACCCTCTTGGAATTTTACCTAGAGCAATCCGGTGTAACAGCAGGAGTGTAAAACTAGCCGGATGGCGGAATCCTTATCATGTCGATCATGGCATCATACCCCTCATTCTGCGGACAAAGTAGTTTACACATGAAGCAAATACTGGAAAAACTATACACCTTCGGGACTTCTCATCTTGCTCCGAAAGAAATAATCATATAAAACGAAATCCTGAATAGTACCGCTACTCGTCCGCAGCATCTCAGCCCCCCGTCTAGTCTAGCCCCGCGTCAGCAAACCACACCCTTATCCCGCTCATTAACAATATCCTCATTCCCCAGCACCTCCAACCCCGACCAAAACAAAAACTGACGCTCATCAACCGAGCCCGCCCTCCCTACCACCGCGCGCCCTCGTCCTCCGTCGCAGTAATCCCATGGGGGACACACCAACGCAAAGTCGCCGGAAACAATGCTCAGAGTTCCACATCCCGCTACATCCCCTTCAGCGACCACACCGGCACACACATCGACGCGCTAAAACACTTCGATCCGCGTCTCGGGGGATCAGCATCGACAGGTTCCCCTCGAGAGTTCTACTCCAGCACCCCCTGTCTAAATGTCAGTCATGCGGGATTACACAATGCAACGACGGTGCAGGATATGGAGGGTTCATTGGTAAAAAGCGGCCAAGAGATTATTCCAGGCGATATTGAACTCTTCTTCGGCTCCAGTTTCTGCATGGACAGGGATGACCCCCGATGGCAGCATGACTTCCTGGGCCTGCTGCCCATAGCCGTACATTAACTCACGGATTGCGAGATCGTGTCATGGAAGCTGTGAGGCCCGCGCCGGATGCGGGTTGAATTTCCAGGTGCATAATGCGTATGCAGAACGTGGGGTTATGCACATGGAGGGTTTGGATAATTTGGAGGCACTATACGCAAGGGGAGGCTATCGTTTATTGAGAAATCTTTTTGAGAAGACTGGGGGTGCATCAGGGGCCCTATGAGGGTAGTTGCGGTCTCGCACGGGAGAGAAAAGGAAGAGAAGGTCGGACTAAGCGGAGGGAGAATAGAGCCACTTTCTGCAGACTTGTCATCTTGTCAAGCAGGAAATGAAGAGTTCGGTTTTCCGATCATTGCAGTAATACGTTATTTGCAGAGAAGCCAATTAATTCAAGGCGACTGACCCCGTGGACTGTTTTGTTAGATTCTTTTCACAGACCTCCTCTCCTGAACCCAGAATCAACAATGTTATCTATATATTCCCCAAGATCACCGACCCTTTCAACAATAAGATTTGAACTAGCTGTCCCTAAGTTCTGATAGTTTGTTATTCTCTTCTTGCACTAGTCCAAATGGGACCAATTTGAGTCTGGCAATTAGCTAGAGCTTCTTAGAATTCGAAAAAAGAGCCTAAACCCCTTCCAGGAAGGAAATAGCAGCGGTTTCTCTCCTAACTTTGGAAAGAAACCGCTGCTATCCTGGTTTCATTCTCTCGGATATTATGGTATATATTGATGTGTTCCGGAACTTAAGAAACGAGATGAAGCGAAGGCCTGGCAGCGAGTCCATAGCAGCTAATATGGGAAGAACCAAGAGAGGAGTATCCAGTAGAGTAGATAAATGGTAGAGCCGCATATCACCAGACCAAAATGTATGAATCGCATACCCACACAAGAATCCCCAAATGCAATAACTCCCAGCTTTTCCACCTCACCTCGTCGGCTTCCCCACCCTTCCTTTCACCACCGCCGTTCTAGCTTCTGCTCCAGCATTCGGTCCATATTTTCTAGGCTTCTCCTTCTTCTTCACTTGAAATACCCTTGGCCCTCGCTTAACACCCTTATCCGACCTTTCTCTCCTAACCCGCTGCTTCTCTTGGAATCCATGTTCCTTAAGGTGGAAAATAACATCTTGTGCCACCTCGAAAAACTCCTGCACACCCCTGATAGCTCCGTAGTTCTTCTTTCCAGCCTCCTTACCAATCCGCCAATTGTCTAAAACAGCAAAGAAGACCTCATCAGTATCTACATCGCCGGGACTGTCCCGGAGCGCGAAAGCCTCGAGGACGATGACGGCGGCGGTGTGGAAGTTGAGGAGTGCGAGCTTGGGGACTTGGTCGGGTTGCGCTTTTTGAGAAGGGAGGAAGATCTCTTGAATGAGCCGGAATTCTTCAAGACCGAATTCGGGGGAGAGGAAGATCTGCTCGCGAATTATGCCAGGAAGAGAGACTTTTGCCATGGGGTAACCGCCCTCATTTACTTCGTAGAGGGCTTCGTACTGTTGGGGACGCGTGTTAGCAAGTTGGATTTAGAGAGGCGGAGAAAAACGTACATCAGGAAGTTTCCAATCAAACTTCATCGGGCTGGCATGAATGAGCTCAACATCCGAATCAGCCTCATCCTGGATGTTAGTCTTGGATTGATCACCGGGGCCAAGAGCCGAGTCCGCGCCATCTGACCCTTTCCCTTGCGGTGGGCTATTGCGAGAATATATCTCTTCGTTATCTTGATGGAAATGCTTCATGAGTGGGACGTTATTATCATCAGAACTACTCGAGTCAACAACCTCAGAACCTGAATCGCCAACCTGCTCTTGCACAGATATTCCAGCATTATTGAAAGATATCAGGCCCTGAGGATTGTCAGCCAGACTCGAACCACATGCAAGCAAAGCTACTTGACTTACGTTGCCGCCAAGGTCTTCTGGATCGTCGGACGGACCGCGGAGTATGTGTTGCATGTTTCGAGGATCGGCTGGCTGCTGAGAGGGTTCTCCGAATCCGGGGTTCGTATGACCAGCAAAGCTAGGGGAAGAAGACTCTTCAACCTCTGTGTTCGATTCTCCCATAAAGGGCATAAAAGCAGTCTCTCCAAACTTGGCGTTCGAGTTTACGACCATGCTTGGATAAGAGGGTTCCCTGAGTCCAGTATTCAGGCTTCCACTCAAGGGGGGAAGGTTGGCTCCGCCCTCACGATGCGTACCCGTCATATCTGGCTCATTGGGTCCCTTCTCACTCAGAACCTCGGGGTTGATAAAGCCGCTGGAACTGCGGTAGTCTCCGTACCCGTCGAACATAGCTCGGAAGCGCTGCATTGGGGAGAAAGGTGCCATCTTCAATATTAATCATCAACCGAGTTGATGAGGTGGGTAGGGACAGACGAGAAGCGATTAGAAGGGGGATAGCGGGGATATATGACGCTTGCTTGAACAACTAGTTCATGGCTAAGCGATATGTAGCGAAAGTAAAGTAGCAGTCCACTCTCACCTTTGCCTGCTTAGAAGTAAGATTCATGTTTCACTCTCACTTAGCTGTGACAATCAGTGAGTAGTATACCAGTGTTACGAAGCATGGGCTTATTGGGGGGGTAAGAGGACTTGCAGGTGATCTTTGCGTAGGGAAAATGTATGTTCCGAGAATAGCGGGAAGCGGTGAGGGATGAGAGTCATTAGAAAAGGGACGACAGTGAGAGTAGAGAGATAAGGCGGTGAAGAAGGGTGAATTTGCTGCGAGGGAAGTGGTTTGACATCCGAGAACACGTGCGGGAACATACAGTCCAGATGTCGATGGCGGAGGACGATAGAGACTTATGGTGTTTCAAGTGTCGTGGACTATCATTATGGAGCGAAATAAGCGAGATGGTATGTATTCTATAGAAAATTTCTAATCTTCATAATGAGTGCGAGGGAATATTGGAACTGCACTTGCGCCTTTTCCCTTTATGCATGATAGACCTTTCAGAGAAGATACACTGTGCAATCGGCGCCTTTCTGTAACGCTTTTTTTTCATTCTCTTCTACTGTCCCCAGCTAGTGGTTCAGGCGCTGAAATTGAAAGCAACCCATCTATGGACTCCTTCAGTCGGAATGCAATGCCTTTCCACAACTGGCTACTATTACAGCATTACTTACCGCAAATATGGCCTTGAAAATACATCTGATCATGTCAAATGTAGTGTGCTTCCCTCGTTAGTGCTGCGTCCTACCCAACTTGAGTCCAAGGGTCGACAGCAAGAAGTTAATAAAGGCGGAACTTACACAAACCCGTTCATTCCTACACAGGCTCTTCCACACAATCCGCTCAACATGGGTACCATCTCCGTCGCCGATCTGATCGGATCCGAAAGGCCATCCTTCAACCCCTCACCATACTAGAAAATAAATCATCCAACTTACAGGCTCACCTTCAGCCTCACCGGACTTCCCTGAAACCGGGGACGTCAGCACTCGCACATCTCGATAACCACAACCCACTTTTCGAATTCCGAAGGATGCAACACCCTGCTCCGCAGAGTCCCAATCTTCGAAACGAACGAGTAGCTTTCCTTTCACTCTATTTAGCCCTACCTTTCTGCACGGATGTCGAACGGTCGTGCCACGGTCGCAGGCAAGTGAACTGAAAGTGGAAAACATGCGAGAAACCGGACTTGAAGAAAGGTCCTAGAGCTTAGAAGAAAGGTGCACGTCTCCACTTACAGACCCCGGATCTGATATGCTCGTGTCGCTTTGCAAATCCAAGCAAGGTTGCATCATAGACGAGGCAAGATAGGATTTGGAATTGAGAAGATATGTGAGAAACATGCGGTCGCCTGGAATTATTTATGTACTTAAGCTGTCTGTGAGCATGTAAGCTTCGCTTGACTTGCACAGTTTGGAATCGCGCATAATGAGACGCTCTAAAGTTCTTTAGGCCGCTAGCTGCTGCCCCCAAGTTTAGTAACAAACACGGGCCGGATATGATCCTTCACGATTAGCGAGAGTGGAAACGTGGCTACCCGAGATAGTGTTGTCAGCTTGATTTCATATAGTATTTTACATTTCAAAAATATGGTTAGTGTGCTGTGCCAACCACAGGTCCATCCTTTTAAGACCTATGATCAAAGACGAAGATAATATTTTCCCGCCCCATTCGCCAGGATGTAGACTGCTAAGCATACTAGGTAAAGCTGCACGTCCACTCATTAGGTGTTGGAATGGGTGTCGTGTTCGGGATGTTGCTGCTCTCTCGAAACTCGACGACCTTCCGCTGGCCTCCAACGTCCTGGACTACAGCGAACGCCGCATCTGTGAAATACAGATCCTTCTTCAGCAGGGCATGAGTCCCCCCCTCCCAGCCAATTGAGTACACCAATCCACCCTTGTCGCCATTTGCATTGGGGACCGCGAGCGTGTTGATGAAGCCATGCATGAAGGGCGCAAAGTTCTTGCCAAGTGTGATGTTGAAATTGTGGTAGAGCTGAAGCCAGCCATCGTAGTTATACCGAGTATCGTTGAAGGTTGCCTTGAGATCTGGTGAGAAGGTATAAGCAAACACCTTGTCCCAAGCACCGTTCGCTGGATACGGAAAGAATCCTAACACATGTTAGTCACGTGTGGCTGGTTAGTGCGGCACGGATGTTTCAAACCATTTGCCTGGCACTCGAACCAGCTTGACAGCTGCATGCTTGCGTTCACACTGGGAGAGTTGGCAAGAGCGCATGGATTGCCTCCGGATCTATTGCGTGGGAGTAGCCCGAGCATGTCGGCCGATGGCATGGCAAAGGCTGCAATTGCTGACGCGAAGCCGAACAAGGCAACTATCCGCGCCATGTCAGTATCGGATATTATTAGGGATAGGATTGCCTTTTCTGTGCCGCAAGACCTTGGCTGCAGGATTGCGGCTTTGGCTGCGGGTGAGGCGGTCTTACCAGTGGAAGTGGACAGGCGCATCATTGTGGAGGCTGCGGTTTTGTGCGGGTTGCTAAACGAGAGTGGGATTAGGTCGGTGAAACCGAAGGAAGGAAGGAAACGCAAGAGGAGGAAGAGGTGAGGTTTAAATATGATACGCGAATGCAGGTACGGGAGGGATGTGAAAGGAGAAAATAACAAAATGTGGAAGTGTTGGAAATTTGGAGGGATGTTTCCGATTGCTCAACTTCTCGTGGACGTGCATTTGCATGTACATGATCGCGATCCGCCACTCACGCTTTAGTACAGGAAATTCTACTCACATAGGTTAGTGAGGTAGTTTGAGACCAATTTTACCTCGAGAATGCTCACAGACATCCAGTTCTTGAGGATTGTTAAACTTGGTTGGGTGCTTTGGGGTGTGTGTTAGTTCAAGGGTTCCACCAAGCGGAATGGCCGGACAGCGGCCTCACCGATGTCAGCCCCATCCAGTAAATGACAGGGGAACATGCGTACCACAACGCCATCTCAGCACCATCTCATGACTAAGCGCTTGGCATAGAATGTGAGATCGCGTCTACGCGGCAAAGCAACCAGAAATACGTTGGGTGGTATCATTGTGAAGATGTATATCATGGACGCCTTCCCGGGGCACGTTGCTCAGCCATCCACGTGCCGCTGGGGCCCTACCCAACCTGTGAGCATCAATTAGAGTGTTGGACTCCTAATATGTACTGCCCCCCCGGGTCAATATAAGTTCAAAGTGGGAGAGTTTGCTATGTCAACAGCAGATATTGCTTCCTCCTCAGTTGTCTCAGCCTCATTTCCCATGCAACACTCACAAATGCTCCATTACCGAATGAGGCAGAGATGTTATCTGCAATGGCGATCCCAACAACAGGGTTATTTCCCGCCACATCTCAGAGCGCTTCGAAACGAATGGTTCATCAAAAGATACGAGAAATACGCAAACCGGTTACCGAAGGGGGATATGGGACCCGATCAAGAACAACGTGATTGCGGCGTAGGGTGGGGCGAAGGGCAGGAATTAGAATGCATTGCACAAAAGATATGGAGGTGGTTAAACACGAGTCATGACGAGGATGACTGTGACATGGCGCCTTGCAAAGATGGGAGTTGAAGTGTTGGGCCCGAGAAAGGTGAGAAATCCAGTGAATGAAGGGACTCTGTTCCTGATCGATCATCAAGGAACAACCTGTAGGTCAACACTAGCATCGTATGGCCGCATTCCTCATTCCAAGAGACGTGCTCGGATGCAAAAAGCCTCAGCGTGGGCTCTGATAGGGAAACGTGGGTACCTGCAGGAAGAAGTAGCTTCGTATGCGAGATTGGAGTGTAATTCAGGCTGGGTACGTCATCTACACAAAGAATCGTCGGATTATAGTCGAGTAGGAAACTACCGCAATCATGACGTTAGCCAGAAAGCCTTTCAATCAGCACATGCATGGGGTGCATTGCCGTGGTAGCATAGGAACATAGAGATAGTAGATGCATTTACGGTCGTATCGTTCGATGCATCTAACCTAAAACTGAGGGAATATTGGATCTCTTTGTGAAAGTCTGACATTGGTGTGGCATCGTAAGGGTGACGATCCCTAGTATAAGCGTTCAGGAGCGTGACTCAAAGGCTCCAAACGCCACCCCACACCGCAAATTTAATTCACTTGGAGTTTTACCGAGTTTCATCGCCAGTTGGAAGAAATTGCCCCAGGGATAGCCGGGAGGAAAGTTTCGAGTGGTGTCGGCGAGATTTCGGCTATCAAAGACCAATCCCTATTTATATGAAAATTTTCAACTTCTTCTATCAAATTTACAGCGAATCGCCCGGCTGGCACAATTGGTTAGCGCGTGAGACTCTTAATCTCAAGGTTGAGGGTTCGAGTCCCTCGTCGGGCTTTAGTTTTATCTTGTTTTGTCTTCTTTTTGTCCCTGGGTATGTGTTGTGATCTTCTTTTTCTGTCTGGAAAAGAATTGCGGTATACAAGCGCAACGAAACGTGTTCTAATCGTCAGGAACGCGGGAGCCATTTTCGCCCTAGATCTAAAGAGATTTGCTAGCGGGAGTGTACCTCTAGTGCCGTGATCAGTGCCAAGGGAACGTAGTTTGACATATCGACTTCGGCGTCGCTCTGAGTCGCAACTCCCTTCTAAGGTTTCACACGCGTCAAGAATCACAGCATCCAGTATAAGGCTCAATAACTAATGCAGCTCCCAGTATGTATGTATCATATCGCGCAAAAGCGGGAAAGGTGGAAGGTGGCAATAGAGGCGCTCTACGGTCAAAGGGTCTGTCCTCTGCAGCGTGTCAGCGTTCCGCTTTACAGGACTAGGAATTACTCTCGTGTTCAACGAGCCTCATAACCGTTATTCCTCGGGAAACTAGTCACTTTAATGTCTGCCACTGTTGTCTACCACCGCTGAGCCGTGAGATTGAAGCAGGCTCTCAGCCCTTCAATTCGGAAACGGCACGGTGCTGTCGGATTCCGACGCGTCACCTTAGGCATAGAAGTTTCAAAATTGCATGTAGGTGATCATCCCAGAATGTCACTTGTGCGTGAGGTCGCTGTAGTGAAATATCGAGATCGAAACTTAGAGGTGGGGAGTAAATTGGCACGGAGGCGTAAATGACCCGGCTTGGCAATTAGAACAGCTTATGTCATCTCACGCTCCCTCGTTCTTCTTCGCGATAAGTAGGACTTTCACCTACACATATTGAATATATCTTCTAAACCATAGAATTACAGTCGGTGGATTCTTGCATCAGATGCCCCTTTAATAGGGGTAGGCACCAGGACGACACCTGAAAGCAATTAAACTGCCATTTCTACAGGATTTCAACGCCCCTAAACGCCTCATAACCAGCCATACTAAGGAAACAAGGAGGCATCAATCCCATTACTGATCGTAGGTCAAACGACGTTGAGTGACAAGTAAAATCAAAGAGAAAAAACCTTCAAACCGGAGAAACATAGCGGCTATGTTCACCACTATAAACCATTTGAGTGGACTCTAATTACCCTCGAATCGAGAATTTATAAATTAAGACGCGAGGAAAGAGAAGTAAAAAGCAGATTGAAAACTCGCGACGGCGAAGTTAATTACCGCAAACGAGTCGGATAGTCTCCCTATTGGAAATTTGTTAGCCGGGACGAGAGGAGAGGAAAAAGAAAGCGTATAACTATAGTGATCTAGGAAATCTATCGAAAATTTTCGCCGGTTTAAAGTAAGACTTGTTTCACCAAAGAAGATATATATATATCGGAGTGGATCGCGCTATTGTCATTTTAATAGTCAAACATTTCTTTCCAGATTGAAAGAACAACTTACGCATCGCATCCATGTTGCACAAACTAGGCAATTACAACCGATAAATGTGCTCTTCTTCCTCGCTTAGAAATATACTTGTCAGATTTCGTCTCCATCCGCTACAGGTATAGGGTAGAAGAGAACTATCCAACGAAAGAAGCAGACGGATTAATCTCATAGAGGAATCGAGCTATTCTATTAGCTTATACTTGCATACCATATAAATACTCATCTTGAAAATGGATGCTGTCCATCCTTTCGAGTTTATTCTCTCTTTCCTTGCATCCAACAGAGGACCTTGAGATATCTTAGAATTGTACTAAAAGAGCGACTATTGCTGCACTGACTGATATTGATGTGAACCACTACGTCATGTGACGTGGTTTCACCTGCTCTAATTGTTACGTGTCACAGAAAGTGCTCTGGTATTCCAAAAAAGTTCCAGCATAGACTCCTTCTGGGTCCCAAAAGATCTTTTCGCAACTACCTTCCTTGTATGGGCAATTTGTTCATCTCCAAGATCACCTCCGCGCTTAGTCCTCACGTGTCCAAGTCTGGGCCTGAAAGGAGTTACCTAGACCATTAAGGAAGCCATCAAACGAATCATCTCTACCAGAAGGAGGCTGAAAGAAGGGGGGAATCGTTGAGTATTAGGTTCAGGGGGTAACCTTTGTTCAAGCTTCCTTTAGTGCCGTTTTGGCTATCATTGTCATCATAGTCGCCGTTGTCAGAATCTGTATCGCAAGGCTCTTCGCCTTCAACGTCGCCTTCAAGGTTACCCTCGTGCCAGCCACACCACAAACTCATTGTAACCCCTCGCTTGAAATGGACCTTCTCAATATGGGCACATCGTTGAACCCAATCTCGAGCATAGAATCTATCTCGATCACAGAAGCCACAGTCCTCAGGGAAATGGGCTATGTACGGTACCCTTGAGCTAACAAGCACCAGGCTTCGGGCGAGGCGGAGTGGTGTCCGCACATATGCTCCGGAATTTATCCTTTTTTGTAAACAAGTGCTGCTCAGACCCATCTTCAAGATTCCCCATCCATCCCTAGTAAAGAGCCAGAAAGATTGTAGATGGATTAATTTCAAATGTTGTCCCCATTCGCTGGGATTCTTGAAACATGTGCCGCATCCTATAATGCAGGAATATAGTCCGGATTGCGTCTCGTGGGTACGGATTCTCCCACATCCTTGGCTCTTAACTAATTGATTGTGCGTTGAATAAGAGAGCGAAGACTTTTCAGTGATGTATACGCACAGTTCCGTTGAATTGTCGGGAATCGAGTCAAACACCGTCGAGATAGTGTTGTTTGAAGAGGCATTACATTCGAGATCGAGATCGACGGTAGTGGCCCCATGAACTGGTTCATGAAGATCAATAGAGGGATACTGCGGCGCAATGGAGGAAGGCACCAAGACAAGTGGGTGTGTTGAAGCTAGTGGGAGTGCAGCGGGAGCGCTGGGAGGAGGACCAAATGTCAAAAAATCACCAATATCAGGGATAATTTTGTTGTCGTCCGAAAACACGTAACTTAATTTATTCTGTTTGGTTTTCCTAGCAAGGCTTGAAGTTTGACCACGGTTGTCACCCAAATCGAGTTGTATCTATTGGGCCTGGATAGCGTCTTCGGGAGGCTCGATCAATCCGCGGAAGGAGCCGATTTCGTACTTGGAGGGTTGTCTGGAATTACAATTGATATACCAGTCATACAACTATTTTCTCATTTTTTGCATGAGTCGTAGTATCCGGAGTTCTTTTTAACAGGGCTGCAAGGTTGCGAATGATCAACGGGTCACATGACTTTGGGTTGCTAACTACCCAGCTGGCCGACGTTGTTGAATGCCTGGGGCACTAAATAACCATTAAGGGTTGGCGCTACCAGTGGCCTAACTCGAGCAGCCAGATCGCACCAAAGAGGCTGAGTGTCTTTCATTATAGCCAAATGAGCTACTCTCCAAGTTCGTATCTATTCTGTACTTGTTTAAGTTATGGTCTCGGTCTCGGTTTCGGGGGAATTGAGCGGTCGGGCGAGGAATAGAAAGTTGAATTAGCCCACCGATGCAGTTAAGGCGGGTTAGCAACAGACCTCTCCAGGGCGAGGTGTGAGAGCTCCCGCCCTGTCACATCATCCTTCTAAGCACTTGTGGAGGCGTTTTTGATTGCTCTGCGCAGTAAGTTCTGAAATCTGTCTGCGCATTCGCTACGGATGACAATGCCAGGAGCTTCAGCCAATCACTAATAGATAAAGTAGTAAAAACAGAAATCCCGGCTATGCAACGAGCGAAAGTCGCCCTCGGTTAGCATCCAATGAACACTCCAGAACTCTCGTGCGAGCGGAACTAGTGGACGGCTAGTTTGCTTCAAAAGCAAGGTGGCACAGCCACAAGCTACAATGGCAGTGCGGCGCGTAATTTTCTCTTCTAACTAACTCAGGCACGGCGAGTTTTTAGGGTTAGTTCTCGAGAATGTGAGCAAATCTTTGAGACGGAGGCAGGTCTGGGGAATAGCAGATAATGGGAACGCAGAAGCATCCAATGTCAGCAATGACTCAGGCAGCAACTTTGAAAGGAAACAATCATTGACTCACACCAAACAGTATATCACATCTTGGTTCTAGTTTTGCGTCCCGTAAGGCCAGCAATGGCGAAGAAGCGCAAGAACAAATCCGGCTCCACAGGTCCTTCAGTCAGCAAGAAACAACCGGCAGCCTGTGTCCTCCCAAACCTCTATCTTGGCCCCGTTTCCGCGGCCTCAAACGTATCATTCCTCACAAATAACGGAATTACCCACGTCCTTTCGATTGGCAAATCGCCCTCGGCAGTCAATCACCTTGAAAGCATCAATTACCAGCGTCTTGGTCTAATCGACGAAGAAGACTGTGATATCCGCCCAGTCGTTGAGAGAGCTTGTCAATTCATCGATTCGATGTCGTCTTCGAATGAGAAGGTCTTGGTTCACTGTTCTGCGGCGATCTCGCGCTCTCCGACAATTGTGGCGGCGTACCTGATGAAGAGCTGTGGGATGACGCTAATGGAGAGTCTGAAAATACTGGTTAACGCTAGGGATGCGATAGCTCCAAACCCGGGGTTTTTGAGGCAGTTAGTGGAGATGGAGAGGGAGATATTCGATGATACAACATTCGACGCAACAGCTTTCGATGGGAGGAACAAGTTGGCGAACATGTTCACTGGCCCTTGATATGATGAAGCCGGATTCTATCCGGACCGTTAATTCCTACAACTAGCCAAGGCGAATCATCGTCTTCCTATCCAATTTGTTTCTACCATGCGGAGGAACTCAGTAGTGTGATAATGAAGAGATAAAAGTCCTACGTGTTGGTCGTAATCCTCTCTTTATGCTTCCACTACTAGGAAATGAAATGCAGTAGTAGAATCTTCTGAGTAATGTTTTGAGAGCAGCAATATGGCAGCTCCCTTTTGCCGTTGCCGTTCCGCCCTTATCCGTTGTTGATTAAATTTTAGGCAATCGCTAGGCCAATGGCCGCCACGAACTCATCACCGCCAAGCCACAAATGACAACATCGTCGACTAGGAATCCCCTCGTTGTATTCGCCTCATAGACCTCGAAAAGCCAATTTGAACGACTTGGGGGCTATTCTACGGAAAGGTTTGGATCCGTGAGAAAATATACAGGAAAGAAACCTTCTAAGGTGCAAAAGGCCTCTATCCCCAACCACATGTGATTCCCCGCTTTCGATACTGGCACGAGTAGGGTATGGGACTAAGGACCAAAATCGAACGACTAGCGCGAAAATAGGACGGCTTGGGTCATCTCCAAAGTCTTCAGAGCGGAGAGGGAGAGCAGCGCATCTAGATGGGAGAGCATAAGTGAATTATACTGGAAGTCAATTCTTTCGTGTGATGAGATGGATGCAGTGAGGAGAAGAGTAGAAACGTCGAATTACGAAGTTCACGCGTGTGGCAAGCCACTATGCCCAATGCATCTAGAAGGAAGGGAAGGTGAATGATGCAAAGGGAGAAACACCGTTGCACAAGTCTCCATATTTTCCTCGACTAGAGGAAAGATCTCTTGAGATATACTGAGAAGCTTATGTGCCCTGATAGCCCTCCTAGTAAAGACAAGGGCCTGAGAGCTATTAGATTTCTCATAAGCGCCGCTTCTTCTACTCTCAGCTATAGTAGAGAGAGGTAACGCCTGTTTATCTCATATCAAACGCTGTATCTTTCCTAAAAGACCAGTAGCTACTTTCTTCATATGTCATGCCATAACCTAGAATACTTTGGACAAAGGAAACGAGAAACGTGGGTGTCAGAACATAGCTTGAACGTTCCTGCAACTTGATTTGGAGAGTGTTGTATATCGCTCCCAGCCCAAGGTGAGACTCCTTTAACGACAAGAGAGCAGCGGGAGGCTACATTTTCTTAGTTAATATTTCATAATTCTGACAGGACTCTTTTAATTGGGCTTTCAACCCTTTAGGTAGAGAATTTGTGTCAATCAGATTTCCACTTACTTGATGAACGTTGTTGAACTCGCGTTTTGTCCACTTCTTCAGATACGCTTCGATCACCTTCAACGTTGGGGGATGGCTGCATTGTATCACGATCATACCGTGAGAGGAGTTTCCAGATATGGTTAAGTGATATGGGGGTTTCAACATCAAGTATTCCGGTCGTTCCATGGTGTTGATATCCGGAAGAATTGTCACAGCCGAGTGTGCCATTGATGTAGTAGCGGGCAATCTCATCTGCTCCACTCGCGTCGAAATATGTCCACTCGTGCTATCAACTCCAATGTCCGACCAAGAATCATCCGGGAAAAGGCGTTCTGCCGGGAGATTGTCTGTATTGGTGGTCTTAAAACAATCTAACAAAGCTGGACCTATGCTGTTGACAATGTCGGACGGTATTTTAGGTCCCGATTTCGGAAGAGTTATCATGAATGCCGCACTATCATCGGTCCATCGCGTGCCTGGTAGCTCTCCACTGCCAACTTCGAGATGTATCTTCACAAATTGCGTCTTCGAAAGCTCTTCGAGCACCTGCTCAGTCCATTCCTCATTCTGCTCATCTTGAAGGAGATCAATCAAGGTTCTACTCCACAGCACAACGATACCGCGCACATTTGGAATAAATGTGCCGGGATCCGGGAACAGGGTCTTAAGTTCTGTCCAGAGTAGATGCCAGTCTGGAGAGCAGGAGATACGATAGCCGACTACTTTGGTGATTTCTTTGAAGGCTAGTTGAAGTTCGCAGTCTTCTTTGGTCCATTGGTCCCGAATATCTAGTTTCAGGCGAGTTGGGCTGAAAACAGTTAGCAATGTAACTAATAAAAATTAAATATTCTATACATCGACATGTTCCAAAGGTGGGTTCTTTCACCGAGACGGCTTCTGTCCTGTTGGTAAGGTGTTGTTGACCTGCTTCTCGATATTCGTGTGACATGAAGGGTGCATTCATCCGTCTTTATTGCCGCTAGTCATGTTGTTCAGCTCTTCGTATTCAAGGACCCAATCTTTCCGTTCCTGAGCTTTGAAGGTGGCTGATGGAGCCAGGGGTCCCGAAGAACGACCCTGGGAGAGGGGTAGGGAGGGGCAACTCTTCGTGGGGCCGTGCTTACTGCTAAGCCACCCTGCTTCAGACTCGAACAATCTCCCCTCATCTCTACATCTGAGCCCTCCATCGACATCATCGCTTTAACTAGCAAGGCCATTGAGTTTCATGGAACGATCGTTTGGGTTTCCAGGACAACAGGTGTCTCTCTTTATCCAATGGAAGCCGAAGGAAATACCAAATACGAGGATAAGCTGGGATCCCTGATGGGACGGACAATTGACGGACAGATATCCTCCCTTTCTTACTTATTCACCAACATAATTGGAGGAACTGCATGAGAATCACATGCCCATCCAATGCAATCGTAACGTGGGCCACGGCCTCGAACTTCCGAAGTCGTATCATGATGGGCCCAAACTGACCCCTGGGCGCTGAGCTGAAAGCTCGAATATAAGTAGAGCGAAATTGTCGTGGCCTTCCAATGTCCCATCCTAGTTTTTCCTTTATCTCCGTTTCCCACCTTATTGTAACCTCCAACTATTTCTCAGAAGTTATCAAAAAATGCCCACCGTAATTCCGCCCGTGGATAAGTTGCCCCTTGCGGTGCGCAAGCAAGGTATACCTTTAAGCGATAACTCTTCCCAATACTAGACTTATTCCAGCTAGTCCGAGACGGTTTCGATTCAAAAAAGGCTGACCTCGAAGCCAATCTGTCAAAATTGTTAGGTGTACCCTGGAAAATCGATATCAATCCCAATGCTATCTGGGTCTATGCTGCGGAGGACGACTATGCGAAGACTAATCTGGGATATTGTATTGAAGCGTACGTTCCCGCGTTCCTCCCAAAGAAGGTACTGGCTTGGGCTGCAATTTGACACTCCAATCAGTTACGTTTCGTCCGCATTTAACAGTATCAAATACTTTCTGGAGGACATGGGCCATGGACAGCCCGGAAAGGATGAGATCAACAGCGTGTGTTCTAATCACACGCTAACCATGGCCATGGATGAGGCTGGCAAGATTAGTTACTGGTAAGTCCTTCGAATTCCTTCGTTCTTCATTCCTTTAAAGCTCTACAGTGGATGCGACGTCCACGAAGGCATGCTCCGCATTCTTTTCAACCCGAAGTATCTCGGGACCAACCACAACGACGCTCTCCAAAAACTCGAAGATGTTCTTTCCACAGCCGCGAGTTCCTCCTCGCTTTCATACTCCGCACGCCATTCCATTGAAGAGAGTTGGGACAAGAATATCCCCGAAATTCAAGCCAAAGTTGCCAAGCATCTAAAGAACCCCGCCATCAAACTGAATCCCAACTGGGAGGAAGTGTTTGCAGCTCTCAGAGTAGATGCAGCAGTGAAAGCAGAAGAAGGTTGGGACAAGCGGATTGGAATGTACATGAAAGCGTACTTCGAGGCGTTCGCGTATGCATTAGAGTACAACAAATTCGAGGAGGATGAAATGTTGAGGGAGGGGTTTGAAGAGGTTGTAAGCAAGGGCGAGGTAAAGTTCCGAATTGTCAAGGAGCTTACCCCTGGAGGCTATTACAATGAATCAGTGGTTGAGGACGGTATTCTGTATATGCAGACTCAGGCAAAGAACTGGGGCGTCAATAACGACACGATTGCGACTAAGATCGTGGACATTTTGTAGGTCCAAGACTGAATGTTGCGACCTCAAATCTAGAGAGGGGGCACGCCGCTAGAACAACTATCGTAGCCTCAGTCTTACATCATCGATGCACTGCGTCAAGAGCTCGAACAGTAATAATGTATCTTGACGTGGGTCTGAACGGAAGTGATAGAGACCAGTGACTCTAAAACTTATCATGATATTAAGCTGAAATATGTATTTGAATGAAAATAAAAGTCTCGAGGACTTCATGATGAGCTGATTTTGGGGCTCTGACGCTTCCCTGTCTGTCTGAAGAGAGGTATGGCTGGAGCTTGCTGGTATAGAGTCCTGCGTATGCATAACGGAAAGGAACAAATAGATTGAGATTGTGGTGTAAAAGAACGTGGGAGCGATATACTCCGTTCATGTCTCAATACCAAACACTTCCCTTTCCAGTGAACAAATGAGAATCTATGTTCGCTTTCGTGAGCAATCAACTCTTGGTATTCCCTTAAAGTGAACGGTTCTAGACTAGATTTAACCCCCATAACGGTGTTGACATGACCCATGTTAAGGGAAACCTCTGTGGAGCTTCCAAAAGACCTTGCTCGCTTGACCAAATTCCCAGTCTCCCTCCTATCAAGGTCTAAGGCTGATTTTATTTCGATATTGTCTCAGATATGTCGCTATGTTAGTTATTGAGAACATAGCGAGTTCTTTTGGGGAGTCGTGAACATCCTCGAAGCATGCCTTCGTGCATCCATATCGAGCTTCGGACAGTTGATAAGAAGGTGAATTCATGACTTGAACGCGCCATCAAAGGTCGACAGGCGGTTCGTTGTCAAGAGCATTACGATCTTGAGGTATTCCAGCAAGTGTAGGAATATCGCGACGAGCTTGTTCCGTTCACGGCCAGGCGTCGTTCGTTGTTCGAAGGAAACACCACATTTGTCGGTGAGTAGGACTCCCCTCCCCTCACTTTGTCGAGATTTCAAGAAAATTCCGAGACTCTCCTCTACTTCCCATACACTAGAGTTTATCTCACTGACGCTTATGGCGTATAACGGATGTTTCATTTCCTCGGCGACTGATTCGTCAAGATGGGTTTACCTACTCCCGGCTCATCATGGAGAAGGATGATAATGCATTGACCGTTACCTTGGGTGGTGTTATCAAATTTGTCTTCTAGGGAGAGTTTACAAATGAAGTTCTTTGTAGGAGTGGGGAAGTAAAAATCTAGGAACGCTTCTTGACAAAAGGAATGTCTTCGATAGGTTGAGGTAGAAAAGAATTGCCAGCACCCCAATACATGGAATATAGTAACAGGTCGGCTAACCCTGCTCCTTGGAGTTCAGGCAAAACCCCCTAACAAGCAGGGAGCGCGAACGACATTGTCCTCCAGAGAGCTTGGAAAACCTTGTTGTATCTTTCATGCGAGGGAGGTCGTCCGCATTGTGGTCGTAGAGAAGCTTCGCCTTCCTCGCGCCATTTGGCTCGTGAGTTCCTCTTACTGCTTAATGTTCAGTTTTCGTCCTAATTTTGTAAGTCAATGCAAATACCTTAGCTATATGGTGGATATGTACCTCATGCTGCATTCTGAATGTTTCAAATCTATGATGAGATAGCAACCCTTCCTGTGGCTCTGGCATCACGGCACAGCATTGGTCCATAACAGTGATGATTTCAGTGCAGTTGAAATATCAGGTATTAGTGGCTGCATATAGCATATAGTAGTTTTTGGATGCTGTCATTTGCCAACCGCGCGACTTCGGGAATCCTTTGTGCAAATTTCTTATCGCCATATGCGGCGAAGCTCACCGGCCGCAACGATCCCAACCTCGAAAGGTTTGGATATCGAGAGACTCCACAGAATGGGTTTATAGAAGATGCGGTTTTTTGGTGCTCATGATATCTTCATACGCTAGTGGATATATCAGCGACGGCCTCCCATCGCTTTCCACAATTTTTCGAACCTCCAGCAAAAGCTACGCTAGTACGACTTTAGTCGAAACGTTTAAATGTAAGGAATCAGTCATTAAGAACATATCTAGGGCTTGGCATCCACCCGAATCCTCCTTATCTTGTCCAAAATCTCAGCTTTCTCAAGACCACTCACCAGGCCGCCCAACATGACATCCTGCTCACTCTCCGGTGCCATTCCCCCACTTTGAGGAGCTCGATTATCTAAGTTCGTGGGGAATGGGTACCCATCTCCAACCGCAGCCACAAAGGCTCTCACCTCCTCACTCATCCCCTCAACTTTGTACTTCTTCATCAAGGGGTTCCAGCACGTTTCAATTATTGGGAGAGAGTCGATCGTCTCCATTGGCTTCCCAAAGGCACTGCTGATCTGTAACAGATTCGCTGAACGCATAACATCCTTCGATTCGTTCTTTCCGGCAGCATGGAACAACGCCGGATTGAAGAAAAGGCCGTCGCCTTTTTCTAATGGTAGAGAGACATAGTGGGCCAAGAAATAGTCTCTGAATTCGGGAAGGCGATACGCCATGTATCCTTCCTCGAACATCTGACTAAAAGGTAGTAACCGAGTTGGACCGCTCTCCAATGGCATGTGGGAATGTGCGACGGCGCCTTGAAGGGTCAGGAATTGTGTTGCTACCTGAGCAGCCTTAGGAATCTGAGAACAGGTTACCGCATCCTGGAATCCGAGGTGGTAATCCCGATGGGACACTTGCGGGGCAGCTCCGGGCTTGACAATGTTGACTTGAGCTGTGATACGGTGGCTTGGTCCAAGCCACGTAGACGATATAAGTGGAAGATAGGGATTCGAATAATAGGAAAGAAATGATGGTGGGTCAAGGGCGCAATGTTTGGAGAAGGAGTTCCAGATCCGATCGTTCTGGCCGGATGAGGCGAAATGATCGCCTCGGGATCTTGAGCCTTGCTTCTCGTGCGCGATGATGTCGGAGAAGACAGAGTTCATTTTGTCGAGAAGGGTGGTGTCCTTGTAGAGACCCTTAGTCACAAAGACTCCAGGACCAGATAGAAGGATGTGGTACCACTCGTCCTGGAGAGCGGAGCACTGCTCTGCGGTGAGGGATTTGAAGGGAGGAAGTTTGTAGATTGGAATATTTGATTGTATTGATGAAGCTAGGGGATAATCGCAACGTAGGGGTTGCGAACAAAGGGTATCGAACGCCTCGACAGATGGGGGCTTGGAGAGATTGAAGAGACGAGGTTGTACGGGGACTGAGGCCCTGCTGGAACCGTTCAAATGTGTTGCATCAATCATTCTGGAGGTGACTTGGTAGCAACCAAAGCTGTCACGACGGGAGAATATATATTTGCATCCAAGAGAAGTGAGGTTGGCATGCTGTCAAGGAAGGAAATTTCCTCCGCTCGATAGATCGTCTTAAGTGCGGGGACTTTCTCTAAACCGAGGACATCTCCAATTTCCCCGCCAACTATCCGTGGAGATATCATTCCCCCGATTCCGGAGAATAAAAGGGAACGCAGTGTTATGTCACGATTTAAGAGAAATACTACTAATACAATACCCCGCTGTGCTAGGGAGATGATATCCTGCCCACGGTAAAAGTCTGATTGGTCCTACGATAGGGTAATATTTTGTGCGGCCGGAGAGCACAGCTGCGGATTAATTTAGTCTAAACGAAGGTGTTGTGGTTAAGTGAGAAGGCAAAAAAGAGGCGCTCTGTTGGCGGTGATAATTTCCTTCTTGAAAGAACAAGCTAGGAGGAGTGGTGTTACCAATAGTGGGAGCTGAGACATGGATAGAACCGTCGACAACTTCGAGTCGAACAGCAACCTAAAGCATTTCCACAACCGTGACAGCATTGTGGTGTCAAAGCCATGAACTCGCACCAGTTCTGTTCTAGGAGACTTGACAAAAATGACTTGTGGCTGGTAACTTCGACGAGTAAAGAGGTGCTCACGTTTCTCTCTTAGCATAGCGCCGAGGAAAATAGGTTGACCAATTATTCATTGCAGGGCAAGCTGTCCAATCAGCCCCCAAGACCCTTCCTTCGCTGAATGATTCCAGAATAGGAAAAGGCTGAGATGTGAGATTCGCACTTGTTTGCAGTTTCGAAAAAGAAATCGGGCAAAGTGGTGTTAGTTGCTTCCACACATGGTCCTCAAAAAAGCCTTCCGAACTAAGAGTGGGTCCCTTCGTTTGATATTATCGCGGAACGTGCGCAGTTCTTCCTCTTACACCTCTGGTTGGGCGTATTTCTTTGCTTCTAGTCGCTCTTCCGCCGGCAATTCTGCAGGTGGGATATATGTGCTGTTCCGTCCCATCTCTACCGCAGCCTCGTGCGCATAAAGCTCAGTGTGAGCTTTTTTCTCGGATTGGTGCAGTTCCATAACCGCGCCATTTGGCAGCTCGTATGACGGAGGTGGTGTTTGCAGTGCTACCAGTCCCTTGCGCTGGCGGTAGCAGAGGAATATGACAATGATTACGAGAGCAATACCGACGACTCCTCCAACGATCCCTCCAACAATTGCTCCTATATTACTAGAATTTTTATGCTGAGGAGTGGTTGATAGTGTGGGCGCGGCCGAGGGAGTTTGACCCGGAGGATCACAGCCATCGATACTGTAGTAGACCCAAGAGGAGTTGTAACAGGAAGCGAGCTCCGCGACTATTTTTGTAGGGCTCGAGCATGGCTGGTTGGTTTCATCGTCGTGCCCGTATATCGTAACTGTGTAGTTTGTCAGAAGCAGTATGAAGAAGCCAAGCTGATTAATTCACCTGCGCAGCCAGAGTCTAACCCAACCACTTGGAAGCCAGGCAGCGAGGAAGTCAAGTTAAGTGGCGTGCATGTTCCGTCTGGATATCCGTTCGGCCCGGTCAGAAGATCGTGCGATTTCGTGCACTTGTTATCCGTAAAGGTCCCAATACCCGTAGCCACCGTCACTCGTGTCAAACCGAAGGCATACAGGAGTAAGAGGGCGAAAAACATTACGATCGTAGAGTCAGAAGGATTGGACAGCCTCGTTAGGCCTAAGTATAGACGAGAAGGAACAACCCAGTTCGCAACTGCGCACGATTGTTTCGGTGAAGCACAACGCAAACGGACTTCACAGCATGGAGCGGGAGGGTAAGACATGATATATTCTGTGAGCATTGATAAGCCTAGCGCAGTTTACTCATCAGTGCGCGCGGAAGAATAGGAGAGACGGAGGCTGAAACTCAGCCTTTATATTGAGGCTGACCATATGCTCTTTTCGAGCACTCACTACCGGATATCTGGAGACCCAGCTGAACGTGCTGGGCTGCAGTGTACGCTAGTCGAACTAGATTAGAAAATGTGACCGGAAAAGGCCATCTCTGGAGGTGGAAATAGAGTTTTGTTTACAGAAATCCTGCGAAACGGTGAGCATGGACATGATTATCAATGACCGGAAAAGGCAAGCTTACTCAACTTCGGCTTAGCGTGCACATTGAAGTCGAGTGATATATAAATGATCACCCATCGTTCGCCGGAAGTTTGCATCCAGATGGTGCAGAGCGATAATAGGCACCACCTCCCAACCTTCGATCTTTGAAGGGTCGAATGATTCTAAGCATATCAACTCATCGTGCAATCGTAGAATACGAAAATTTTATTCCCGATGTTTCGCATGTACTTTGGTACAAGAATAGTTGTGTGCTTACACACAACACAGGACTGCACCCTCTGGCCAATAGGGGTTTTAGAATGCCGTCAGCAACACCATGCAACGAAATGCGTTGGGGGCCAGGGGTACGCCATCGCATTTCAACGGTCCCTTATGTTCTGCAAATTTCCGGTTTGCAATCATTCAGAGGGGCGAAAAATTATGTTCGTGGTGTGTTCTCCAAATAGGTGTCGTTGCACGTGATGTGCCTAGCTCGACCCGACCCCAACGGCAACACCATGGACCGACAAGATAGAACAGCTCGATATTGGCTTGCCTAGCACCATAGGCTACATTCAACCCCGTTCGAATGTAGTCGAGTTGCTCCACATGTTGGAAGCTCATGCAGAGATGCCGATTGGCAAGTTCGTCCACACGGCCATCGTCGCGACAGAACCATGGAAGGCGTGATAGTGACCTCTGGGTCGTTGAGGGCTCTTTCACAATTCTGCCTCGTTACGCAAGGCCCCCAAATATAGACTCTTGCACCTCCCTGCGATTTTCTCTTCTCTGCTCACAGCATTCTTCCTTCGCACTTCGCACCTAGTAGTGCATTCGGTCTAGAGACCGACTCACGGATCAAAGTCTCCCTATCGCAGTGAAGATGAAGCGTACTGTTGCCTTTGAGATTCTCTCTTTCCTCGGCCTCGCCTCGGCCGCGGTCATTCCAGCCACTGCAGTACCTCACAGCAAGACGTACGTTCTGTCCGGAAAAATCTGTGATCGGGAGAGTATTCTAATCAGCACAGAGCCTCTTCCGAAGGACACCCAAGCAAAGTCGTTGACCGCGACTTCCCCGAACCACGTCCGACTAAGGTTATTGAGACGTGGATTGACGGCGTGTTGGTGAAGCAGTGCGAGCACTTCTCTGCTACTGGGTAAGTACAGTTCCGAACCCCATCAGTCACCTTCAACCTCCCTTAACGTTACTAAATAGCGGTTCGCATACCTTGGGACCTTGCGACGACCCCGAGCAGGAGAAGAAGAAGGAGTGGCACGACTGGCGAGAGTACATCCCTAATCAATGGTGTGGTCCGAATTTCATCTGTCCGCCGTATAAACCGCACAAGGAGGGGCACAGCCCTGAGACCATAGGCCTCCATGGTCCTAGTATGGAGTGAAGAGTGATATCGCTAGAGCCACGTGGCTTCTCAAGAACTATTAGATACAGTGCGACTCTGTGTAAAAGACTAAGAATGGAGTCTGTTTTTCATTCAATGCCTTGACTAGAACTGATGACGGTCACTGATCATATTTCTTCCTCCATGAACATGAGAAATTGGGGTATAAGACTACATAAATACTCTGGCGTTGTTAGTGCTTCATCAAAAAACACAATTCCTAATGCATACTTATGAATGCTAACGATAGTGTTGCTTAATGTACTGAAGGCAATAAAGCAGATAACTTGATCCTAATGTTTCTTAGTGAGGGAATTGATCGTTGTAAATCAGGTATCTGAGGCGGTTATCGTAACAATTCGAATAAGAGGAGACTGTCGAGAGGTCCCTCCTGGGGTTTAGCAGAAAACTGAAGCTGAATTATGTGCTTAGAATTGGGATACTAAAGAGGCTGGGGCTTGTACCCTAGTCTGACCCGTATGCTATGTGCATTCTCCTTGATTGAGCTCTTCGTCTTTTAGATTGCGCTGTCATGGGGCGTTGGGGAAGTTGTTTCTGAGTTTCTTGGGAATGCTGGAGTACGTTTCCTGGAATTCTGCTTTCGAGAGAAGCCGCTGCCGAGAGATTTTCTGAAATTACGATATCTGAGATGATTTCCTGTTGGGCCAGACCCGCTTTACTCATCGGGCGAGGTTCATCCTCTTTTGCAGCTTCGCTCTCAACGAGAAATTCTTGTGACACAGCCTCTGCTTCTGGTAATAGCCCTGTATCTGACGCTTCTTTTGGTGGCAAAATATCTCGGTTTTCAAGTAAAGATACTGTCTCACTTTCGCTTTGAACTTTATAGTTGAGAAGACTAGTCGAAGGGGTAAACCGAGGATCCTTGGACGATGATATATCGCGCACGTCAGCTGCACAATCTTTCACAAATGATTCATCATCATTCGATGCTGCTCTTTCCACGGATATAACTACTGGCGCTGAGTTAATACGCACTTCTTTCGTGAGAAGCCCCTCTGGACAGGACGTTGCTGAGGATGGTCCACTCGGTGGTGGAGTTACAGAGGTGGCAGGCGTATCGATCTCCACTAGGGTGTCGAATGATGGATCATTTTTCTGGCGGTTGCTTGGTATAACATATTGAGCGAGCTCCATGTACAAAGACGGCTGTCGAGGCAACGATGGAAGCCGAGTTGGGAGGGAGTTGTGCTTGATCATCGGCCGTCGTACTTCTACCGCCTTTGGTCGGTATCGCCTTGCCAGTTTCAACGTTCCAAGGGTCTTTGGTAGTGGTGGAGGGAGTTCCCTAAATCTAAGTGGCTTTCGGGTGAGAGTGTTTGGAGGAGGTGCTTGGTCCAAGAATCGCCGAGGGTTCGGAGGAGGTGCATAGAGGTCCCAATTATCAGGATCAGGGAGATCTTCCGGCGTGCTGCCCGGAAGTTCCACAGGTGAAGAATTGACAGAATCCGCTACGGATATGGTTAGCTACACACCTACACATCTAGCCGGACGTCTTACCTCTTGATCTATCACTTTCAACTTCCGACACGGTGATGCTCGGAAGTGATAGATTTCTTTGGCTCATCCTCCACTTTTGCCTTGAGTAAGGGCTTCGCAAAATGTCATTATCTTGTAGCCAGGGAAGCTCTGGGGGTTGGGGAACCGGCAGTTCCACTGGGTTCGCTGAATCTCCATATTGTCCGACCATCTCGACTGCCTGCATCGCTTGTATGGCAGCCATGAGACTCTGATGACACGTATTTAGAGCAATCTCTCTTGATATGAGTTTTTGGTGATGACTCAAGACCCACTCAAACCTGTGTTTCATCCTAGCTGCGCCGCCTTCATCTCCGCCATCACGCACGTCCTCGACATAGACACCAATGTCATTGAGCGCCCGTTGAATGTCTAGTAAAATACTATCGATCCAAATTTTCTTTTGCGGGAAGGTTTCGAAGTAGTTACTGACGGTATTGCACGCATGGAGTCGTAAAGCCTCGCTCACGTCTTGTCGCACGCGTTGGATCAAGTTGACAAATATTTCGCTTTCGGAAGGGACTTCGTTGAGGGCGGCGACAAAATCGACGAAGTTGAAGACAGTCGAGATCGAAGAGAAGATGTTGCTAACGTCTTGTCTCGACGTTTTCTCTACATTTCTCCACTCGAAAGATTTCCGCCTCACGCTTCGTGTTTCGACTGAATCCGTGGTTGGGGTCTGTTTGGGGTATAAGCTCTCTGGGAGAAATAGGCCAGCGGTTGGCAACATCGTTCTGCATCAGTGTGCTCAGGTTCCAGCTCTTGAGAAGTTCAATTGCAGATTTCTTTGTCAGAGTTGTCCAGCAGTAGAAATTGTGCAGACGAGAGTTGTAACATGAAGTGACGTTCAGTAGCTGTTAGCCTGCTTGGTTGCCGCCCAGTTCTGCGACACTGGCTCTCAGGTTGAGATTTCTAAATAAAGGACAGGGCGAGGCGAGGCCACAACAATGCAAAACAGCAGGGCGCTCTATCGTGTGAGGGTGGGCATTTAACACGCAGGAAGGCGGAGCACATTGTACAACAGTAGTTGGTGAGAAAGAGGCGGAGAACATCGAAGAGGGGAAATGCAGCCTATAGCCTATAGCATGCATCTGCCGGAAATCAGGACTGACAACGCGGGACGTTAATCAGCCTTCCTCATGGTTGCTTTGCTTATTGCTTGTAACATGCAGGATGCAGTCGAGTGCTCTCAGCACAGTCGAAATTTACGCCAATGGAACCACATAGCGAGTAATCCGCAAAACCTGTGTATTTTGTAAATGGATTCCCTTGCCTCCCCTGTAGTTTATCATGAGACGTCTGCACGGCTGTGCCACATGTGCTTACGATGGGGGCTGAACGTGTCTTAACCATTTATTGTCCAGAACATAAAAATGAAGTACGTGAACATGACGCAAGGAACTAAGCATCATCCATCCAGGCATCTAACCACAGCCTCACTAAACTGTCGGGGAGGCTTGAGCAGTTCACCGGATTCGTTTTCTACCTGAACAAGAGCGGGAAATATGCAAAGACTACCAGATTTAACACTTTCTTCATCTTGCCAGTCAAAGTCCCAAGATCCTGGCTGCGAAAAAAGCGTGAAAGCGAAGGAAGCAGCTCTCTTCAAAATTTCTTCCAAGTTGCAGCGTCGCTGATTATTGTCTACGCGTGAGTCACAGTACGGCTGGAGAATTCTGTCCAAGACCTCCAACGCTGCCTGGATGTTGTGATTGCGAGGGTCGGATGAAGAGAATGAACTTTCGGTAAGGCTGGGCTGCAGAATCTTTGCAGTCATCGCTCGCCACTTCGATAGAAACAAGGCATGAGCTGAACACAGGTAAGAATCGCGGTTGCGGTGGTGTAAGTAAAGAGTCTCACCTTGGGGTCCATGTTTACTAACGGGCATTGCTTTCAAGAGTTTCGCAATGTCCGGAGGTAGAAATGTGATATTGGGGTCGCTGTGCAGCTGCATTCGGGAAACAAACACCCATGCAATGCAAAATCTCAGAGCAATCTCGCGCGTGTCCGAATTTCCAAGCAAGGTGCTCAAGGTCCCAGGTGACATCGCTAAATTCGTTGCAAGAGCTTGGAGATCATCTAAGTCCAGAAGTCCAGGACTCACTCGACTATTGTGGTAGAAACTTTGGACATGGTTCTTGACGAGGCTGCTAATTTTGGAAATCTCCCCAGAGATAGCTTTGTCCTCCATTGGTTGGGGAAGACTTTCCACCACAGTTTGCGAGATAGGACTACCGCTTTCGAAGGATTTCTTTTTCACGGTAGCCCTATTCTCACGAGATAAGAAGGCGACAGTACTTGCTTCTTGATCTCGGGCTTTCCGATGGTTTCGATAGTGTCCCATACAAAACCAAAGAAATAACCCTGCAAGAAGAGCGCCCGCAATGAGACATCCCACAGCTATTCCAGCAGTGCTAGCTGAGGAAATATTCGTGCCTTTTCTTGAAGGCGAATTCGATGTAGGTGGAGCTGAGTTTGTAGGGACGAGACTTGTCTGTGCAGACGAGGGAGCTAGAGCGGTCTGCGAAGGAGTTGGGATGTTGGTCGATAATTCTAAGGGGAAGGTAGTTGGAACTGGCGTTTGTGCTATGTTGTCTCCGAGGATGTTACGCGTGGCCGATCCGATTTGGGCGTAAAACTCGTTGGAAAAAATCGACACGTTCTCCCCGTTCCAGATGTCTGTGCGAAGCGGGGCTATAGTCTTCGGGCCGTCCGTCTTCACACCGCTGAGAGGAGCAGCAGGGAAAACAACACCTAAATTTCCAGGCAAAAGGAGCAAAGTTACTAATGAATCATAGTAGCTAATGACAACGCCAAGGGTCGTAGCTATGGGCGTCGGCGTGAGTCTTGGGTCTGCCATTGCGGCGGAATTCAATGAATATGCCAAAAATAAAGTAATTAAGATATACCAATTCCCGTGAGGTCGTTGTCATGAGGGGATGGTCTGGTGTGGGTTGAGAGCTTCTGGGGCGCGACACGTCGCTATGAGATAGGGTGACTTCATATAGAGGGGTGGCAAGAGCTCGCCGACGAGCAGAACTCGAGATGACATGAAAACAATAGACCATTTTCGGGTCGAATAGGTGTCCGAGTTACCGCCGGTATGAAACATCAAGCAACACAACGGCACAGCGGTCACAAAGTGGTCCTATCTCCAACCACTCACCCCTCCTGCTCATCAGACTCAATATTGAACAGGCCGAGCCCGATCTGGCCCCATAGCCGCAGCGCTAGAACAATGAGCCACTAATCAGACGGTTGGGTGCAGATGAACGAAGGCTATGATTGCTGTGCAAGGCACTTGTGTAAGATCGGCGGTGCGGAGGAAGGTGAAACTACTCCTGAGTGATATTATAGGAGCCCCCAACACATACTTACTGCCACTGGAGAATCTTTTGCAGAATTTAAAATGGGGTGCTGTGCCGCAAGGCTGTAACACGGACAGATAAGAAGAACAACAGGATCCGTGTCTTAAAGATCTTCAACCTGCCCCGGCAAGGCACAACTAACAAATCGAGACGATATTGAGACGACAAGATGGATAATGAGAAGCCGCACATGATTATTGGGGTGGATTTGGGGATGACGTGTAAGTGTGTTGACAGTGTTGAGGTTGGGGGTGGGAGCGGCCGCAGGGTTCCTGGTCAACTCCTGTCCGAATTAGGACTAGCCAAGACTTGACTCCGCTGGGTCGTGTTTAGATGCCTATCCAACACACGGCTGACTAAGACCAGGTACAGGAGTCTCCTATGTAAATCTATCCATCGGTTCCGAGACAGTAAGATGGGTGCAGAAATGGCCTGGCCGATTCCAAGCCAACGAAAACAAAGTTCCTACAGTTGTCGTATACCCCACGGGCCAGTCTGAACCTTCGTCCTGGGGATTCCTCTCTGAGACAATAGCAGAGACAACAGGAGAAGACAAAGAGTACAAAGAATGGTTCAAGACTTCTTTAGATCCACGCAAACTCGCCCAGAAGCAGGCTGAAGATCCGGTAGGAGCCCCGGAGTCCCTCGCAGAAGTCGAGAAATGGTACGAAGATTATCTACGGAAGATGTACGAATATCTTGCCAACAAGCTCTACACTGAGATATCAGGGGCTTCATGGAGAGATGCGAGGATAGAGTTCATATTTTCGGTCCCTACCACATGGGCACCTAATCCGACTGTGGAGAATTTCAGATCCATTGTTGAACGAGCCGGCTTCGGACAGCATATTGGCCATTCTGTCACCATCGGTTTGACTGAAGCTGAAGCAGCAGCTGTTCATGTGTCTACAGAAGCCCCTGGAATCTTTAGGGAGAGAGATATCCTCCTCGTCTGTGATGCTGGGGGTGGAACGACTGATCTTTCTGTCCTACGAATCGCAAATAATGTCAACCAATCCATCTGTCTTGAACAGCTTGATGTAGTGTTCGGTAAATATTTCCACCCTCCTGGTTCAGTTCTCTACATGTCCCAAGCTGCCACCAATCTAACTCGTCTTTTTACGCTAATTGCTCCCTACTCTCTTTTCTTTGCTCTGTTCACACCTACGCTACTCAGTCCAAACTAGTGATCAACCTCTCGTTCGGCAGAGCAGTTCATAACCTCGCCAGGCTAACCCACATTGCGACAGGTGAATCAATCGGTTCCGCAGCTATCGATTACGAATTCGAGAAACTGGTCAGCGGTCGACTCTCCACGGCTCACAACGCTTCACCTCTACCTATTGACCCCTCCGATGCCGCCTGGGAAATGATGAAGTCCCGCGACTTCCAGGCTGTTAAGTGCGAATACGGATCCCCAGACGATACACCTCTTTTCTCTATTGGCATTCCTCGTGTGCCTCAATCCTACAACAACCCCGATGCCCGCATCAAGAATGGCGAAATGACATTTGCCCGCGAAGATCTCCAGCAAATGTTCGACAAGCAGATTAACAAACTCTTCAAATTGATAGATTCCCAGCTTCAATCCCTCTATCAGAAGTTTCCGAATGAACAAGTCGGCCATCTGATTCTCTCTGGCGGTCTTGGAAATAGCGCTTATGTGCAGCAATGCCTTTCGAGCCGCTACGGCGCCACTTCACCATTGCCAAAACCGAACGCACGCCACATTCGTGTGCGTATAGCTCCAGACCCTCAACTCGCCGTGTGCAAAGGCCTCGTAGCCGACCGCGTCCGAAAGCTGTTGACTTCCCACTCTGTTCTCGGATGGCGGTGCTGCCGGGCCTCCTACGGCACAGTCTGCAAGATCCTATATGACAAGCGAAATCCAGAGCATGCCGGAAAGGAGTTGACTAGAGACCCGTTAAACAATAAATTGTACATCACGCAGGCCATAGCGTGGTTTGTTAGAAAGGGTGAACCAGTGTCAGTCGACCGACCAATCATACACAACTTTATCAAAAAAGTGAGCCCTGGGGATCCGAGGCGTGCATTCCCAACGAGCGTTATAGAATGTGGGTTGGAGGCCAAGTTCTTGCCAGATCAAATGTGTTCGGGTAGGTTTCTCCTCTTCATTTTGCTCTTCATTCATGTGTTTGTAGCCGTGGCTAACCTGGAATAGACACAAGAGTACTTTGCGAAATCCAGTCAGACCTCACAACTGCTGACGAAAAGAAATTCACAGAGAAGAATAGACGCTTCTGGAAGCTCGGAAAGCACTACTTCAGGGTAGAGTACCAGGTTAAAGTCATCATCGGGCCAGCTGATATCCGATTTGAGCTTTGTAAGAACTTCCTCCTCCTTCCTCACCCCGAATTGATCTTTCTTGCGCTGCGTATCTTGCCTCAAGTTTTTCCAACGCACCCTGAAGGCCCAAACTCTAACTTTACTAGGGTTCAATAACCAAAAGCTCTCCCGCGACCAGTCCATCAAAGTAGAATGGGTCCCTGCGCCTGCACCAATTCCCCCAATGTTTAGCAACATCGCCGAGTTGCCCGGTCGATCCGATACCGGGGAATTTAAACCTATTGCAAACGGCACCAATAATGGAAATGGGGATGGCATTAGCAAAAGTATAGGAAAGATGTCAGAAAACTTGGTCGCTATGGCTAAGAATAAGAAATGGCCTGTGTACGGATGACGTGCCATTACTGGGAAAAAGTTCGCGCCATGGAGGGGCGTAGCATAGGAGTATGTAAGGCATAATTTTAGACATTCATTCATGTAAACTTCACGCAAAGAAGCCGAAGCATACTCTGTGCGCTATGGGTCTAGTCGTGAGAGCCTCAAATTACTGCAGAGCCAGCTCAGCACTTAACCTTCAGGTCCTTCACATTCCTTCCCTATCGAGTATTAAACCCCATTCGCTAAACTCTTTTCCATCACAAACTACAGCCTTACCATCCTCCTCGAGCTTGTCTCTAAGATCCGAAATTACCAAGCTGCATATCCTTCCACTCTTTCCGCGTCTCCTTCACACACTCCTCAATCAGCTCTAATTCCTCTTCAACATCGATCACTGCGGCTATCAACTCATCTAACTCGTACGACTCCCTAAGCTTCTCTGTGTCCTTACTTCCATCGTTTTTGCAACTCGTCGTGGATTTTCTTCTGCATGTGCTTGTTCTGCATAACACATGCCCAATAAATTTGCAACTCGCGAACGACAGTGCGCTGAAGAGTCACAGCAGATTCCAAGTCCCTGATACATAATGAGATAGTGGACTGCGGTCGTGAGTGAAGGCAATCAGAGTCATAAGGTAAACTGCCGTAATTAGAGTCGTAGGACATAGATGGAGAAGGGCTCTGGGAATGATAATGAAGAGAGGAGCCTCTCGAACTCTCCACTGAACTTCGTGAAGTCATTTTCGATCTCAAGTGTCGATTTTCTTGTTTTATGAGTATTATTTTGAAAGCGGGAATGGTGATGCTTTATTCCACTTGTGCATCACAGCGAAGGGGATATTGACAGGGAAGGCAATCAGAAAATCGTGACAGGTACTAGACCGATGGCCAGTGCTTCCAACGAGACGTACTACAGTCCGTCCAAAGTGAGCAGTGTCGGCCACCTCTTCAGTACGAACGTACCCAGTTCTTGAGCTGCACGATACGTTTAATGGCGCCCTAGGCACGGTACGTACTGCCAATAGTATTACCCTTTTAATAGTAAGGGCGCTTCAATCAGTTGTTTCTAAGAGTTTTGATATATTTATTTACAGTCTGTCGTCTCAAAAGTGCCTATTACAAATTCTTTTCTATTGCAGAAATATTTACCTAGGCCTTTACTACCTTATTGTGAGAGGTATCAAGCAATAAGAGCAAGTCACAGAGAGTTAATGCAGGATAGGGGTAGAAAGAGATAGAGAGAGCGAAAACCTTAAGGTAAGAGGCAGAGGTATGGAGGCCGAGGAGCCTATATACCCAATGCCAAGCCCTTAAGGTACTCAGGGGTCCGATAGCTGTAACATAACTATGACACTTATAAACCTTATCTTGTTAATTGGATGCCTCTGTTGTTCTATTTTGCAGTCTTCTAGGCTGCAGAAGTTAAGAGCCCTCTACACAGCGTCCCTTGCCATATATCATGATACCCTGTCTGTAACCAAAGACTAATCTCAAGTTTGCAATAAACTAAAATAATATGTCGCTGTTATAAGTAAACCAGGGGTTAACCTTAGTGCGATTAGGCTACTCACTAAAGTACAAAACTATGTTGCGGTAATTGTACGTCATCACAGGTATGGGTTTATGGAGCAGATCTGACGCTTCTAGAGCAGGGCCAGGGCTTCCAACGGGCCGTACTACGGTCCGTACAAAGTGAACCGTAACGGTCACGTGTTCAGTACGAACGTACCGAGTTCGTGAGCCGTACCGTACGTTTAATGATGCCCTAGGTACGGTACGTAGTACGGATTGTATTACCCTTTTGGGAAGTTTGTATACACAGTTATGTTACAGCTATCCAACCCCTCAGTACCCTAGGATTGGCACGGGGTATATAGGCTCCTAGGCCTCCGTACCTCTGCCTCCAACCCTAA